GGGCACCTCCCCCGATCCATGGATCTGGATTTGGCGACCGCGCGCCAACTCCATGGGTCGCTAATCCATCTACCACTTCCCGGGGACGCAGAGATCCCGAGCGCCCTGGCGCTGGGCTTAAGTCGGGCTTGACCCTCATTCAAAAAAGTCAACGAATAGTCTGGGGACGATGTTCGGAGCATTTGTTGGCCATTTGGGGGTATTTTTCTGGTATTTCCTCACCGGACAGGTTGGGATCATTAGATTTTAAGAACAGGCATCCCGGCCACTCCCACACTGCATACCGCGGCCGCCAGACCCCAAGCTGTCCCGAATATCCCGGTTATCCCGCCTCGCGCCCTCGACAAACACGACAGAACACACCTTGCATACCGCGGCCGCCAGACCCCAAGTTGTCCCGAGAATCCTGGGTATCCCGCCTCGCGCCCTCGACAAACACGACAGAACAAAATTTGCATACCGCGGCCGCCAGGCCCCAAGTTGTCCCGAGAATCCTGGGTATCCCGCCTCGCGCCCTCGACAAACACGACAGAACACGATATGGCACAACAGAAGATGACAGAACAGAGCAAGGGCATGACAGAACATGGCAGAACAGAACATATCAAAATCATGATACCGGAGAAAAACCCAATCGGATTTTTGTTGGGGGTATGGGGCTATATGGGCTATAGGGGTATAGTGATATAGGGCTATTGGGCTATAGGGGCTATAGAACCTTAGGGCTATAGGGCTATAGAGCTATAGGGCTGAAGGGTTACAGGGCTCTAGAGCTATAGGGCTCTAGGGCTATAGGGCCATAGTGCTATACGGCTGTAGGGCTACTGGGCTATTGGGCTATTGGGCTCTTGAGCACCCCCGGGCACCCGGGCACCCGGGCCTGGGCACCCGGGCCCGGCCACCGAAATCGGCCACGCACCTCACCGGCCACCCGGGCACCCGGGCACCGCCGGGCACCCGGGCACCCAGGCCCGGCCACCGAAATCGGCGACAAACCTCACCTAATTTTTTAATCCGCCAGGACCCCTACGGAGGCAAGCTCTGATTGGGGAATGACAAAATAGAGGACATCAGCATATCAAATAATATACCAGAACAGAACATGACAGAACAGAAAACGACAGAACACAACAGAATACAAAATTACCGAGCATGACATAAGACAAAGTGACAGAAATACCATATCATGACACAGCGTCACCAAACATATCATAAGACGACAGCAGAGCACAGCGGCGAACACGCCAGAACACAACATGTCACACCAGAAGATGACAGAACAGAACACAACCCGAGCATGCCATAACATGACAGAGCATAACACAGTAATGTCATGACAAAATAAGATCATGGCAGAGCATCACATAACGCGTCATATCCTAGCATGGTAGAAGAGAAAGCGACATAACACAACATAACATAACATAGCATAACCAAGGAACACATAAGACACCGTGGCACAACATCATATAGGATTGCACTTCATTGTAGAACATATCATCACACGACATTATAGCATACCGCCACTACTAGCATAGCAGGTCATAAAATATTGGATTGTCCTGAGCCGTCCACAAACACAACATCACAGAACATACCAGATCACATCATGATAGAACAGAAGACGACATAGCACAACATACCATAATAGAGCCGACCATAACATAACACATTATGGCAGGACACATCATACCATGACACAACATCACATAACATAGCATAGCACGGCACCAGAACGTTGCGAACCACATCAGCACAGCAGATCAGATCATAATGTACTGAGCCGAGCCGTTAACAGCATCACGGAAAAGAGCACACTATAACATAATATGTCAGCATGTCATGCAATAACATCGTGCCGAAACGCAGATCATACCATAGCATCTCCAACCATATGGTAACAGATGGAGCCAACGTGCACCCATGGATGTCGGATACCCACGTGCCAGGGGGGGCTCCGCCCAGGGCCGCCGCGCGCCCCGCGCATGCTCGGGGGAGCGAAGAAGACGAGGGCGAGGGGGAAGAGGGGGGGAAGCGAGGCGCATGATGAGGGAAGAGGACGAAGAACAGGGCGAGGAGGAGGGAACGGAGGAGGAGGAGGAGGGGGGGGAACGAGGACGATGAGGAGGAATAGGAGGGGCAAGGAGAGGTCCGCCTCACCTCCTTTTTCCTCCTCCTCGTCCTTCGTCGTCCGTCTCCTCCTCGTGGTGTTACTGCTGTTCCTCCTCTTCCTCTTACAGGAGGTAGCTACTATCTTAGAACAAGTTGTGGGGTGTCGCAAAAAGCGTTATGGATTTGGTTTTGTCCTCGTCAGGGGCCTTGGGGTTGTCAGAATTTGGAAAGCATCAACCTGCGACCTGGTCCAGCCGCCGCACTGGCCGACGCCGCCGGGCACTGCGCACATCTTTCCAGTAGGTGCGCGCACCGTTGGGATCAAACGCCGAAGGTTTCGGTGGGGATCGCTCGAAGCAAAATAATTGTCATGTTTCGCCCAAACTCCCCCTGCAGGGGGACACGCCTGACTTGAACGCAGAGATTCCGAGCGCCGTGGCGCTGGGCAGGGCTCGTTTCGATTCCCCCGCTTCGATGCGATTCGGTGTCGAGGGCTTCCAATTCCGATTAGGTTCGAATTCGGATTCCGATCCCCAAACATGACCGCGTCGTGAAACATGATCGACCCACGAACCTGGAAAGGAGTATAGAAATGCAACGCATGGCAACGTTTTCAAAGACACTTGATTGGGTTACGGGCAATTGCAATGCTGAGTGTATCGATCTTGATGTACCTTGCCGAAGTCTGTGCTGTGCTGCGCCGTGCTGAATTGCGATGTGCCATGCCGCGATTGTGCTCTATAGTGTCGTGGATCGAGTCCTCCTTTGCATCCGAGTCCTGACCGAACTGATCTGGATCTTGAGCTCGAGCTGCCTGAACACACGGTTGCTGCCCCAGAGCTAATTGACAGGGGGACATGCCAGGAGGACGCGCCGCGAAACGTCCCAAGGGACGCGCCAGGCGACGTGCCAGGGGACGTGCCATGGGGTCGCACCGCGGGGCGTGCCAAGGGGACGCGCTACAGAACGTGCCAATGGATGTGCCACGGGATGTGCCAGGGGACGCGCCACGCGACGTGCCAGGGGGACTCGCCAAGGGACGCCCCACGGAACGTGTCAAGGAACGTGCCAGGTTGCAATGCTGAGTGTATCGATCTTGATGTACAGTGCCGAAGTCTGTGCTGTGCTGCGCCGTGCTGAATTGCGATGTGCCATGCCGCGATTGTGCACTATAGCGTTGTGGATCGAGTCCTCCTTTGCATCCGAGTCCTGACCGAACTGATCTGAGATCACATAGTAGCTGTCCCAGAGCTAATTGACAGGGGGACATGCCAGGAGGACGCGCCGCGGAACGTCTCAAAGGACGCGCCAAGCGACGTGCCAGGGGACGTGCCATGGGGTCGCACCGCGGGAGGTGCCAAGGGGACGCGCTACAAAACGTGCTGGGGACAAGCGTTTCGCTCGAGACATCCTGTCAAAATCATCATGCTAGATATCCGCCTGAGTGACCTGGACACGTGAAAACAAGCGTTTCGCTCAACACATCCTCAACACCTCCTCATGCTAGACATCCGCCTGGGCGAACTGGACACGTGAAAGCAAATGGTTCGCTCGAGACATCCTCAACACATCTTCATGTGAGACGTCCGCCTGGGTGATCTGGGCACGTGAAAACAAGCGTTTCGCTCGAGACGGTTTCAACACCTCCTCATGCTAGACATCCGCCTGGGCGACCTGTACACGTGAAAGCAAACGTCTCGTTCGAGACATCCTCAACATATCTTCATGTTAGACATCCGCCTGGGCGACCTGGACACGTGAAAACAAGCGTATCTCTCGAGACATTCTCAACACATCCTCATGCTAGGCATCCGCCTGGGCAACCTGGACACGTACAAACAAGCATCTCGATCGAGATTTCCTCAACACATCCTCATGCTAGACATCCGCCTGGGCGACGAGGACGCGTGAAACCAAGCGTCTCGCTCGAGAAAGCCTCAACAAATCCTGGCGCTAGACCTCTGCCAAACTGGACACGTGAAACCAAGCGTCTCGCTCGAGACATCCTCAAGACCTGGGCACGTGAAAACAAGCATTTCACTTGAGAGATCCTCTGAATTCAGGTCCCCAGGAGAGGACAGTCTATAACACAAAACAAGCGTTTCGCTCGAGACATCCTCAACGCATTCAGAAAAAAACAAGCGTTTCGCTCGAGACATCCTCAAAGTTTAATTCGCCAGCCCACCTCGACCTCGATATCTATCGCAAAAGAAATTAGCTGGCCCACCTCAAGTCAAACCCGGGGGTAAACCATCTAAAAGAGAACCCTGGGCCGGCGCCCTTTCCGGGAAAAAAGGAACGGGAGGTCTTTCTCTATTTTCGGCCAATTGGGGCCCTCCCCGGGCCTCGGGACCGTCAAAAAACGATTCAGGACGAAAAGCCGGTCATGGGGAAAGGATCGGGATTTCCAGGAACGCCGTCCTGAAACGATCAGGACGTCGCATGCTTGGGTTTGGGTTCCGCTGTATCAGTAGAGGCGCACTGGCCTGCCGATTCCCACCGAGTCGACTTCTCGCGCCTCGGCCGCCGATTGCCGCCGATCCGAGTCATGTCGACTGCCGATCCGATTTTGATCGATTCGGTTCCAGGCTCTCCTGCGGGGGGGGGGGCCCGAAGTCGAGGCCCCTGAGTGGCGGCGCGCCCTGCGGCCTCGGCCGGGCCTCTGCGGGCCCACCACTGCCCGGGGAGCGGTCGGGCGATGCGGCGCCCGGGGGAGGCCCAGGGCGACATCCCCAGGCGGCAGCGCGCCTGGCGGCCTCTGCCGGGCCCCCCAACGGTCCCAAGGCATCCGGGCACCGTGCCCGGGCTAGGGGCTGGAGTCCTCCTAGCGGTCCCGCGGGCGTGCTGGGTTGTGGCTGTGTGCGCGAGCACTGTGGTGTGCACGGGCA